ATTTAATTTATTTTATTTAATAATAAATAATAAAGAGATTATCTAATACAATGAGCATATAATAATATTGTGTACTCAAATAAAATAATTAGAATACTATTCACCCAATATTACTATTTTAGTATTATGTACCGATATTCAAGACAATATTGAAGACCTGAGATAATAATAAAATTATTTCACACCTATCACTATTATATCGGGTGCATAATAAAGTTTACAAAATTAATTATCAGGTACTTAGTAATAATCAATCATATCGAGTATCTGATATGTTTATTTTTTTCTGATAAGTGTTTAATGAATATCTAATATTTAAATTTTGATCTGTGTAAAAGCTTATCTAAATATCAGTTAACTTTTTCCTTTACCAACTGTTAAAGTATTTGTAATTCTATTCTTGAAAATTTTTTCTTACATCCTGATATTTCTTTGAATGAATTTACTATACAACCACATTTTGAAAAAGTTTTAAGAATATAATGAACAGTAGATATACTAATAAATAAAAGTTTAGCAATTTCATGTTTATTATAATTTTCACTTTCTAAATAAACTACTTTTCAATATAAATCTTCACTATATGGACATTGTTACTAGTCGACCTTTTGGACTAATTTTATTTTCCAAAAGGTAATTTATAACTAGCAACTTGTAAACAGTTACTTTAGTTTACAAATTGAGAAAGATAATAAAAGAAGAATTTAAAAGATATTTTAAATTAAATACTAAAAACTAATTAAAAGACTTAAGAATTTAGAATCACAGAATTTAAATATTGATTAATGATTAAATTTTAAAAGTTGATTTAAGAAATTAAGACAAAGAATTAAATATATTTATCAATGGTTATAAAATAGTAACAGAAATTTATGAATCAGAATTTATATTTGAAGAATATAAATTAATAAAAAGAATAGAGTTTTAATATAAAAGGTATAAGTTTATTACAAAGAAAATCAATAATCCAATTATTTTAAGATTATAAAAAATATTAATTTAATAGAATTAATTACAGTTGAGATTACTTTCTAAATTTTACTATTTAGAATTATTTGAATCTTATTTGAAAACTATCTGAATCTCTCTTGAGGTGAAGAGAAACTCACCCTTTTTATAATATTTGATTTGGCCAGTAAGTTGGTCAAAATCTTGGCCAGTAATTGTGTCAATCAGTTGGCCACTAGATTGACCAGTAACTGGGTTACTATGATCTACATTATTGATTTACATAATTCGTATTACTCTAATAAATAAATAAATACTAATTATAGCTAATAATTGAAATATACTAATATACTAAATAATTATATTAATAAAAAATAATACAAATAAGAAATAAAAATAAGAAAATTATTAAAATGGAGGAAACTCATAGTAACAACGTGGCATAGTCTAATAATCTTAGTAGTCTTTTAAAATCGGAATTGTAATCTTTGTAATCAAGAGGTAAGGTTCATGTATCTTATTTTTCAAACTCTGTAAGCGCGTATGTAAACATGTGGGGTATTATAATTTATTATAAAAACCGATTTGCTCATTGAATTTTTATTATAGATTATCATTTTTTAGTCGCAGTAGTCGCAGTAATTTTTTGTACTACCGATCGGCCAAATTAAGACAATTTCGGAAATAGCGATAATAATATTTCTTATTCGAATTATTTAGGAAAACACAAAATAATACCTTTAAAGATATTTTTATTTATTGTAATTTCAAATTATCTTTATCGTTATTATTTTTATCTTTATTGTTATTAGCTATATGCTATCTATCTATCTTTATATTATTCATTCCCTATATTATTAGTAAAGATTTATTTATTATTATTATTATAGGCATTTTTTTGACAATTTATTATTATCATTTTATCATTTCATTATATGGTAAACAGAACCATAGATAATATATTTTAATAACATGTTGAAATAAATTGTATTTTTTTTTTATATATAAAACTCCAATTAAAAATTTTGTAAATTGTGTTTTTTTTCCGTTTTATTAGTCATTCCATTTAAAAAGGAAAACCAATTTATTATGCCTCAATTACGATACAGTTCAGTTTATAAAATGTGTGAAGTATATTTCATTAACTTGTTATTTTTTTTTCCTTCAAAGTGATGATACCGCGTTTCGTTATTTTAGTGAAACTTTACTAATATTTTTTTTCTTGGTGAATGTTAAAAATTAATCTGCTTGTTACATTTCGCTGTTTATTGTTTGTTTGTTGCTTTTCGATGTATTTTATCATTTGCTCTCGTTACTATTAAGAGCAATTTAAAAAATTTAAAAAATTACACTATTGTTATACTAACTTTTGTTTTTCGTAGGTTAGAAATTCGTCGTGGTAAATTGTAGGAATTTATATCAGACTATATTATGGTAATATATGAAACTTGAAGTATAACTCTTTGAAAACGCACGCGATTGACTCAAGGTAAAAAGTTTGATTATATATAATGCTTATAATAGAAGCATCAACACTAATATCAATGCTTCCACCGCCGCTAATTATTTAGTGATTTAGTAAATAAAAATCTTAATTTTTATTATTATTAATATTTTAAGCTGATGAAATTCATAAAAAAGTAATAATAAAATACATTATAATATAATAATAAGTAAAATATTTCTAAAATTTAATTATTAATTAATCCAGAAGCAACTAAATAAAGATAAAAATAAAATTAATAAAAATTGTAAAAAATAAATATAATATAATATGAATATGAAAAATAATTGATACATACTGACACTTAAAGAAGAAGTAGATTTAGTTGTTTCTTCAAGCTCTTTTTCAAAATTCTCTTCATTTTTAGGTTTCGGGAGACCTGAATAATTAAGTCGACTGGTGTAAATTGTTTGAGGATGTGTTTGGTAATTATAAGGATTTATAGTTGTATTTATTAGGTGTTTGGAAGATTTTTCTGCATTGCGATTTGAATTGTAATTTCATTATTATTTTTGAAATCATTTCTGATATAATCATCATGGTATTTTACCAACTCTTCATCCAATTCTTTAAAAGTAGGTCGATGATCAACTCGAGCATCCCAACACCTCATAATCATTCAAGTAATTAATTTTGGAGTATGAAATGGAATTTTTGGTCGTAATCCATTGCATATTTACCTTGCCATATCCTTTATCATGTGGCACATCATAATAAGGTGCAAACCTGGTAATTAATTCATAAGCTATAATTCCAAAAGAATATACATCAGCAGCCTTTGTATATTCTTCTCCGCATAAAACCTCTGGAGCGATATAGGGTAATACGCCAAAGATATTTCTATTATTAGAATTTTCTAAATTTTGTCCAACTATTTTACTTAATCCAAAATCTGAAATATGTAAACCCAAAATTCAATTTATAACCATATGTAATATATCTAATTTATGAAATTTATTAAAAATGTACGCTAATTCAGATAAACGAAGTAATTTAGCATTCCAACCAATATTATGATTTTTTAAATAACCTTAAGATTTCCATCCCACATATATTGTAAAATCATCATATATTTATTAGTTTCAGGATCCTATAAATTCGGACGGAACCAAAGTAAGCCTGATCCACTGATTTCAAGTGAATTGTCATCTAAATAATGTATTTTATAAATTAATATATAATATATTTCAACAAATTGAATAATAATAATACCTCATTAAAGAACTCCTCATTTAAATTTGCAAATGCTTTGAGTTACATGGTTTGCACCAACCATAATATACATAAATCCGATTGCATTCTTTACATCCCATTTTATTTTTTCTTAATTTTAATGGGTGAGGTAATTGAAAAAAAAGGTGGAATAAAATTTTCGTTAAATTTTCGAGTTCCTATATAAATTAATAATTTACGTAAAACTAGTATCACCTCATTTTAATTAAATGCTTTTTTTATTATTGTTACTTTTTTTTAACAAATGATGGCGCTAATGTTAAGAATGAACACCAAACATAACGGTGGACATATTATGGCTTTGCGTCTCAACAATCCTAAGTTGCTTTAACATAGTGATGGCGATTTATTATTAGATCGAAAGAAAACATTGAATAATACTTGTTGTCACTTTAAATTTTTTTCACAATATGGATAAAAATCCTTTATATATTGGAAAAAAAAACTTAATGGTTAATTCATTATAATTAGTTTTGAAATCATTAAACTGACAAACTTCTTTATTTCATAATATGGTTCTTTCTTTTAATAGAAATTTCTTTATTAATTTATTAATAATAAACTATCAACTATATGCTTATTAAATAAAATAGTTATTTAGATAATTATTATTTTGAGGTGATAATGTGATGATATGATTATGTAATGATGTGATAATAATGTACTACTATTAAAAAAAAAAAAGGTAACAAATAATAAACCGTTTTACTAAACCTAAATAGGTCAACAATGTAATAACGACATATTTAGAAAAATTTATAATAATTTAAATTTACGAGAATATTCTAATTTTATATTCACAATTCTTCTTTAAATTATCTAATTAGAAATATAATAATAACAATAATAATATTTAAAAGAAATTTTTATTTCTATTATTATTATTATTATTATTATCAAAAAAAAAAATAGAAATGTGAATAGAAATATAATAATTTTTCTCTTTCTTTCCTCTCTTAATGCTAATTAAAACCATTTTTTATTATTACTATTTAAACGATTTAAACAATTTAAACATTGGTATTATTATTTGAATTATTATTATTATTACCAGAAGATGGCCAAATGCCATCTCTTTTCCATCCACTAATTAATATCTTGACCTATATTATTAATAAATCAATCAATTAATTATTAGAAAATATTATCAAAGAAATTTTGATTAAAAATAAAAAATAAATAAAAATAATAACAAAATGAATACAAACCACAAAAGGTAGAGGAATAGGTTTAGACAATTTCTTCTTATCATGAATTAAAGAATCATAAATGGTATTATAATTATTTGGTTTAACATTGATTAATGTGGAATTTGTATTAGTCGAATTATTTTTATTTTCAGGAAATAATAATGAATTGAAAGAATTAGAAGAATTGGAAGAAGAAGGATTAGAATTGGAAGAAGAAGAAGAAGATGTTGAAGTTGAAGTTGAATTCGGATCGTAATTTTCCCCTCGAATCCAAAGTTCTCTTCGCTTATTCCATAATTCTAATCCTTCATTAACGTAAGGTTTATCTTCTATTTTTTTATTATCTTCATTATCTTTATTATCTTCTTCTTTATTATTTTCTTCTTCTTTATTATTTTCTTCTTCTTCTTCTTTATTATCTTCATTGTTATTATTGCTTTGGGGAATTTCATTGATTTTAGATGATATTGTCATTTTTATTAAAGAATTGACTTCAGAAGACAAATTATTGTTATTATCAATCCATGATTGATTATTAATAACTTTCTCTTCTTCACCCTTACATAAATGTTTCTTTTTCTGCTTAAGTAACGATTGTTCTAAAGATGATAAAAAGCTTGCCATAGAAAAGTTTGTTTCTATATTAAAATTTTTGATATCTATGAATTTTTTTTTTTTTTTTGAATAATAATATTATTTAAACTTTTAACTAAAAAAAAATGGGAGATAGAATGAAAATGAAATTAATTAATTTAATTGAAATTCCAAAATTAAATTAAAAGAATATCTATATCTATATGTGTATTTCGAATTCTGATTGGCACCTCAACTGGGATTATTTATTTAGAAATAAAAAAATAAGAAATTTAATTAATTGAATACCTTAAATACTTTAATCATGACTACCACCACTAATGAAAAAAATTCAAACATTCAAGAGAATAATGACTTTCAAGATTTTAATGAAGATAATATTAAATTTCCACCAGAATTAGAGACATCAATATCAAACATTCTTCAAATTAATGATCCATTAGATGGAGCAGATTTTAATCCCATCGAGTATCTTAATCAAATGCTTCCCGATGGTATTATACATATATCTGTTTAATTGTTGAGTTATTGAAAGAAAATATATATAAAAAAATGTTTAAATAATGTTTAAAAAAAAAGAAATTACATACGAAAAAAGAAATGATATTTAAAAAAAAAAGATATGATAATGAACAAAAAAATATTTATTCTAAAGAGCATGCGTTAACGTCAATTGACGTTACTGGGAAAAAACTTCAAACGAAGATGCGACAATTGGAAGCGGACATTCGGGAATTAACGAAAATGCAAATCAATTGTGGACAACGTGGAGCTGAAGAAGTGGCGGAAGCCAAAAGAGCTATTGAGGTTTTAATGAATTTATTGAATTTATTTGATTAATTATTGTAATTAATTCTTTACAATTATAACTATAATAATTATTATTATTATTAAATTGAAATTAGGAATTATTTAATCAAATAAGACAAATCAAAGAAAAAGCATCACAATCAGAAATAATGGTACAAGAAATTACCCAAGATATTAAATCATTGGATTATGCCAAAAAACATTTAACCATTTCGATTACCGCTTTGAAAAGATTACAAATGCTTGGTATTATTTAATAAATATATTAATAATAATCAATTAATAATAAATTAATTAATTAATAATTAATAAATAATAATTATTTAATTAATTGAAATTATTTAAATTATTTAGTTACAGCAGTTTCACAATTGAAAATTATGGCTCAAAGGAAACAGTATAAAGAGACAGCACAACTTTTACAAGTAAAGTTATTTAATAATTTTATATTTGTTAATAAAATAAATTTTATATTAAATATTTTTTTTTTTATTTTTGATAATAATTTTTTTTTTTATTTTTGATAATAATTTTTTTTTTTATTTTTGATAATAATTTTAGGCAGTATTACAACTTGGATTATATTTCAAAAGTTATAAGAATATCAAACAAATAGCAACATTATCAGCTTCAGTGAATTCATTACAGAATGACCTTAAAAAGCAAATATTTGATGATTTCGAATCAAGGTGTGATTAATTCATGAAACTTTGATTATGAGAATATATATATATATATATTTGTGAATAGAAGAATTTCACTAATTAAAAGGAAATCTTTATAAAAAATAGTTTTTCAACAGATGGAAGTTTGATCGTTCAGACAGCTTCTCTGGATGAAGCATGTTTGGTAATTGAAATAATTGGTGCTGATGTAAGGTAAATAATAATTATTTTAATATAATAATTATTCTTTAAATTTAATAAAATTATTATTATTATTTTATCATTATTAATAAATAATTTTTCATTATTAATAAATAATTTTTCATTATTAATAAATAATTTTATTGATTTAGAAAACAACTCATTTCTTGGTATTATGAGAAACAATTGGGTGATTATAAAAGAATATTCCGAAGTGAAGAGGTGATAATTATATATATAATAATAATTATTAATATAATTATTGATGTTTTAAATATATATATTTCATATATTAATTTATATATTTATTTTTATTAAATAAAATAGAATTCTTCATTGGAAAATACATCTAGAAGATATTCATGGTTAAAAAGAGTTTTGAAAAATTATGACGAAAAACATTCTTCGATATTTCCTGTAGAGTGGCGAGTAAGTGAAATTCTATGTAACGAATTTTGTGAAATCACTCGGTATATTTTATTTATTCTATTTTTTTATTTATTTATTTATTTGTTTATTCCATAATTTCTGTTTTTTATATTTTATTTATTTATTCTACTTATTTATATAAATAAATAGAGAATCATTATCTAAAATATTATCAAAGGGAGAAAGTGAATTGGATGTCAAGATTTTATTAAAAAATCTGCAATTGACAATAGAATTTGAAAATCAATTAACAAAAAGATTTTCTAATGTGGTATGAATTAGAGTTATTTATATTATCATATTATATTTATTATATTTATTTTATATTATTAATTTTATATTTATTAGTTTTATATTTATCATTTTTATATTTATTATTTTTATATTTATTATTTTTATATTTATTATTTTATATTTATTATTTTATATTTATTATTATTACAGGATGATCCTAGATCTTCTAAAGTTGAAATCAATTTCAGTAAAAAGATTTCAATATCATTTGAACCATATCTTGGTTTATATATTGATGCTGAAGACAAGTATGTCATTAATTAATATAGATTTATTGATTTATTCTATAGATTTTGATAGAATTTATTTATAATTATATATGATCACCATTTTCAGAAAATTATCCGAAATTATCAATTCATATCGATTGGAATCTGTTCCTGATGATGATTCTTCCACTACTGTACTACAGTCAAGCACAGACTTATTTTATTTCTATCGTGAGACATTGGCAAATTGTGCAAAATTATCTACCAAAAAACCTTTATTTGATTTATATATTATGTTTGCTAAATGGCTTCGAATATACGCAAGTGAGGTTTTGATTGGGCGACTTCCAAAGTTTGTTAATTATTTTGTTTTTGGATTATTTATTATTTATTTAATTTTTTGTAATTACTTAATTATTTATTTATTTTGGAATTCGTTTCATTCATAAACATTCATATCCATTCATAACCATCAGAGAAGAACGTAAATCTATGTCACGGGATGATTCGAAATTAATTTGTTTCATTCTTAACACTGCTGATTATTGTCATGATACTACATCTCAAGTAAATATCCTTTTATCATATATTAATGTTTTATTTATATTGTATTCATTTTATATTAATTTTGTAAATTTAATAAGCTTGAAGACAAATTAAAAGAAAAGATTCATGACGAATATAAAGAAAAAATTAATTTTGATAATGAACGCAATCATTTTCGAAAGTAAGAATATTTAATTAATATCTTATCAACATTTTATTGAATATTTTTATTAAATATTTTGTTTAATATTTTTTATTATTATTAATATTTATTGAATAGTGTGGTCACTTCATCCATCAAATCCTTGATTCGTGGCATTGAATCATGCTATGAACCATCATTGGTTGCTATGACAAAAATACAATGGAGCAATTTGGATTCTGTCGGTGATCAATCCGAATATGTCACTTTATTTCATGTGACTTTACGATCAAATGTTGTAAATATACATAAAGATATAACAAATAATCGTTATTTTAGAACATTTTGTGATAGATTCGTAGAGTAAGAATATTTTTATTATTTTTTTTTTATTAAAATAAATAAATTATAAAAATTTATAACGAGTGTATAATATTTTTTTTATTACATTTTCATTTATATTTTCATTATTTTTTCCCACATTAGATCTTTTGTTTCGAAATTAATTAATAATCTTTCGAAATGTAAACCTATTTCTGAAGTTGGAGCAGAACAGGTAAAATAAATATTATATCATATTTATATTACCGTTTTATTAATGATAATAATATCCCTTTGTCATTAGATGTTATTAGATACATATGCTCTTAAAACTTCATTATTGGAAATGCCAACAATGGGTATGGAAAATCCTGATCCACCTCCAACAACGTAAGATCGAAATATTATACATTATAGTATAGATACATTTATAAATACATTATTTATTTATTTATTAATTTATCTATTTGTTTATCTATTTATTTAAATAGGTTCACTAAAATTGTTAATAAAGGAATAAGCAAGATAGAAACTATCTTGAAGACAATTCTCAAATCTCATGATCCCCCTGAAGGATTAGTTGAGAATTATATTTTTTTGATTGCTGATAAAAATCTTGGAAACTTTCAAAAAATATTGGAATTAAAGGTATTTTAAAATAATATTATTAAAATATTTAAATAATATTATATTAATATTTTTTTTTAAATGATTGATTCATTGTAGGGATTAAAGAAAAATGAACAACCACCTATTATAGAAATCTTTCAACAAAGAATTTTGGATTATCCCAAATTATCAGAAAATTCAAATATAATGTCATCAATTACTTTGACACCATTTATCACCACTCCATCTTTACCTAGTTCGTTTCCAACATTATTTTCTTCAACCCCTATAATTCCAATAATTGATCGTAACAACAATAATAATAGTTATTATTATAGTAATAATGGTGGTGGTGGAGGTAGTAATAATAATAATTTTTCAATTGGTACTTTAATTACTGATAATAATAATAATAATAATAGTAATAATAATAATAATAATAGAACTGGAACTACTGCAAATAAACTTAATGAAAGTTTTAGAAAAGTACTTGCTGGTAGAAGTTGGCGAAAGAAGGATGGTAAAGATGGTAAAGATGGAAATGATATTAATTATAATAATAATAACAATATGAAAAAACATGATGATAAATTTTAATATATATAGATATAGATATATTATTCTATTATATTATGTTTTATTTATTTAAAATTATTTACAAAAAAGAAAATAGAATCAAGTTGAAATTATATTATATTAAATTTTATTTAATAATTTTATATTCCTTAATAATAATATTAACATTTTAATTAATTCAAATTTTCAATAATTTACTTTTATAAATTACCAATTATTATAAATCATTACTATGATTATTTAAATTAAGAAAGAAAAAGAAATTCTAATGTAACTCTTCCAAGTTCTGAATGATCTCTTTCTTAATTATTATAGGTCTTGAAGAATTTTTGATAATTTAAACATTTTAAATCCTGATTCTTTATGTTTGTCATGATTATTATGATAATTGTTATTGTTGTTATTCTCAAATTCTTTAATAACTGAAGTCAATTTTTTCATTTCTTGTTCTATTATTTTACTTTGATAAAAATTAATATTTTATATAGATAAGTACAGTTTCATTTGTTATTATCATTATTAAGTAGTGCTTTTAATGGGTTGACCTTCAAATTAGGAATGGTAGATGCAATATAAATTGAGCCAGGAATTTAGTCAGATTTAATTTAACCAATTGAGTCCAGGAATTAGTTCTGGTGCAATCTGGTACAATGGTTAAATTCTGACACTATTACAGAATAAAATTATCATGATAAAATATAATACACAGTACTAAAAACACCTGCAAATGATTAGTAATACCATTTTTTTATTTTATTTTTTTTTTTTTTAAATCCAACGGAGTCTTGCTCCAATAAACTTTTATTAATAAATTAGATGTATAATTAGTAATAACATTAGTTAATAGTAGTATTTAAAATTTAATTAATAAATATTTTAACACTCAGTAACACATATTAATTGGTCACACGATAGTAATACAAGATCACGTGTTCACTTGACATTTAGTTACACAAGTATAATTATCAATTCGTAATATTAATTATTAACATTTATTATTATATATATATAAAAATAATAACTAATAAAAATAGGCACGTAGTGGTACAGTAATGTAGATCACATAAAATACTTATAAAAAGGATCAAAGTCCTATCTTGATTTCTTAACTTACAATTTTATAATTTTGAATTTTGATAATTTGTAACTTGCAATTGGATTAATAAAATAATAAATATTGAAAATATTAAATAAAAGTCATATTAAATAATAAAATATATAGTTATTAAATATAAAAATATAATAGTTAATAAGAGAATAATAAATATTATAAGATTTTTTTTTTATTCCAGTAAGATCTTACCTCAAATTTATTAATTAAAAAAAGATAAAATCTTTTATATTACATAAAATTACATAATACAAAATACACAACTTATTTTAATGTTTGTTTGAAAAGATGAAATTCAGACTAATTTATATGAAACATGTCTGCAACTTACCACCTGACAAGTAAACTTGTCCTCAGCATATTAAGGCCTCGCTGAACAACCTATTTTATATACTTTTGTTCATTTTATCCTTTCCTTAATAACTTTATAAAAAAATTGACTAACTATATTATTACATAAATTTTTAACTATGCTTTTACTATTTTTATCTATATTAATATTAGTATTACTACTATTATTGTTATTGTAACCTGGTTATTATCTGACAAAATTAATACTTTACATCTGTTTTTATTATATATACCATTTTCTAATTTTCACCTTTTTGTCTCGTTATAATGTTTCACCTATATATTTGTTCTTATATATTATTTGAATTGTTCTATCAGACCTCTAATTATCTTATTCATGTCTTTTTTATTACTAACTATAGACTGTATTAATTTTATTAATAACATTGGTACAAGATCAAATAGTATGTCAATGAAAAAAAATTCATTTGCATCTCTTGTCAAAGAGTATGTTTTAATCTCAAACTCTTTTAAATTATCTATTGTAACTCTGGTATTTTCATCAGAACTTTATGTTAACTCATTAATAATTTGTTTCTATAACAAATCTATAAATTTGTTTCTACATATTTTAATATCTACCAAATTTTATAAGCAGTTAAAAATATGATACTGGTCTTCCTTTTCCATGTTACAATGAATATACTTATTATCTTTGCATATGTGTAGAAATTATTTTTTTATTCTCTCTAATATATATAACATATTGTTCATTAATTTTATATTAAAAGATTTTTGTTGTGTATCATTAATATTTGTAGTTTGTTTATTCATATAAGATAAGGCTGTAGTTTGTTCTAGCAAATTTCTTTACTTTTATTATTTGAAATTATTGTTGTATTTGTATTTAGTAATCACCAACTAATTGACTGTTTAGCTATACTTAGTTTTTTTGTAAATATTCTCAAAGGTTCTTCGATAAGCTTTGAATTCTAGCAACTAATTGTATTAATTGATACTAATATTTGTAAGTCTGGATTACAGTTTAATTTGTTATGACCTTCTTTTACTAATTTATTTGTCAAATCATTGAATTCTATTCTTGTGTGTGTTTTTACTTAAATAAATTCTTACTCAATCCTTTGTACAGTGATGATTTCATTAACTACTTTAAGTAAGGTTCAATTTTTTATTTTTGTATAGCTTTTCTTATTATCTTTTATAATATTTGTATATACATTAATTGTTATCTGACTGTCTATAAATAAATATTATAAGATTAAATACTTGATTGTATAATTATATAATATTATTATTCTTGAGTTAATGAAATTAATTACAAACTATTATTATAAATTCTGGAATTGGAATAATACTTAACTATGATAAAATTGGAAAATAATTAATGAATAGATATTAATACTGAAAATAATGATGAACTTGAAAGATATTAAAATAAATTAGATAAAAAGTTTGATTCCCTTTCTAAAATAATTGAATCACATCAGGAAATTTTTCGGGGCGTAAATTTCTGTAACACAAACGGGACCCACATCCAAAAATTCAATTTTTTTGACTTTGGTCGCAATTTACGAGACAGGAAGCGATTTTCTACTAAGATGTTTCTATGACAGATCGAAAGCCCTGGTTCTTGGCTACAAGATGATATGTAAATTATTCCTG